CTGGCAGGACACACTTGCAGGACAAAAAGTCGTCCTGCGTCCTGCCTGCAGGACGAATTTTTGTCCTGCAAGCTTCAAAAAGGTAAAATATTATCTAAATATGAGATATGATGTCAAGCATCCTACAAGTACTCTTTATAGAAGTCATTTATAATGATCCTGTTAATTAATCTAATCACACGCTTTCTGGTAGACATGAAATGAAATGAACAAAAAGTACTAGATATTCGTAAGAATAAAAGGAATCAGAAGATAATCACGATGACAAAGGATTTATAATCTTATTGATACTGAAGATGAGATACAACATCAAAGATGAAAGTATTGTTTACATGAAGAAACATAATATAATTTTATTAGAAAATCTCAAGACAAGTTTTTCAACAGAAATGAAATGAACAGAGAATAATACTGAGATCCATAAGATCAACAAATCAATAGCAGAAGAAACACTAAGATACAAAGTTCGCACTGCAATGAAAATTCACAGATAAATATAAGCTTCTTTTTTACTTCTTGTTTTTGAATTTCTCGTACGAACGAATAAATAATATATTATCAATTTGACTTGGTGATAAACGTGTTCGTCTTTGAGTAACTCTTAATCCAGCGGAACTAAATAACTTTTCCACTGATGCACTAATTGCTGGTATAGTATGTATTTTTCTTGCTGCTATTAACAAAAGCAGGAATTACGTCTAAGAAGTGTTGATTATATTACATTTTTCATGTTATAACTGTTCATCGCTCTACAATTAATAACTAATCACTTTATAGAAATCGCTATGAATCTCAAAATCTTTGTACAACTGATTTATTTCTGTTCTTTGCTTTCAATGCTATCCTGCAGGACTAATAAATCATCCTGCAGGTCCTTCATATAAAAAAGGTTGTCCTGCTCCTGCACTGCCCTGCGAATTGCAGGACTAAATTCCAAAAATGCAGGGCAGGACCTGCGTCCTGCAGGCAGGGCGATGCAGGACCTGCAGGATGCAGGTCCTGTGACGTTCTCTGGTTTCGTCGAAAATAACAAGCACAATTCCAAGCAAGCGTTCGCACTTTTTTACAGATATCCAATAAAAAATTTAGCCGGATTTCATCGCATTCTTTGTGTTTCCAATGTTTTCTCGCTTTCAAATCCAACATTCGAAAACTTTCGAAAGAATCAGACGCAATGAGATTTGTCGACCTAATAACACTTCAGATGATGAAAATTGTACATTTATATACCTATCTATTAAGCATCAATTTATATTTTTTATTAAAGAAAAACTATAAACAGACATTATTTTGCTTTTTAGAAAATGTTTGTTTTCTTTTAGCTGTTGATATGCATTACTGGCGAAAAAGAAAAATGTCAACAAATATCGTGTTCATATGATCAAAGTTTATGGAAACACTGTTAACATGTTTGGTTCACGTCTTAAGACCGATCAGAACTTATGAATGATCAAGCGACCTCTTTCCTCTCATTTATTGGATAACTTAAACTAATTAATTATCTTTCGCTCTGCTTCGCAGTTACTATATTGATCTTTAGAAACATACAATAAAAATAACTTCTTACATTATATTGTAAATTTTCTTGTTTCAATATTAATTATGGCAAAACAATCTCAAAGTGAAATAGATCAAATGATTCAAAGATCTCAAGTAAGATAACTAAATTCATATTAAAATGAAAATAAAAATCAAATAATTTTAGTATATACATCGTGATTTAGTTCGTCGTGATATAATTCAAGCAATTCAATCATATCAATGTAATTTAGTATTAAAATTAAATCGATATAATCTAAATGAAGGATATTCTAAAGAATATCTTTGTTTATCTGGAACAGTTCTATGTGAATATAAAGAAAATCGATATAACATTCCCATTGAAATAATTCTTAATGAAAATCATCCATATAAATCACCAATAGCTCAAGTTAAACCAACATCAAATATGTTTATTTCTCCAACAAATCAAGATGTTCAATCAGATGGAACAATTACAATAAATTATTTGAAAACATGGCGTCATGTAAATATAATATTAAATTTACAAAAAGAAAGATCTATATGTTTTGTTTTTATTTTATTTAAAGCCAAGTAGTGATTTATCGAATTTAATAAAAGCCATGTCTCAATCTTTTAGTTTATCACCCCCAGTTTATTCAATTTCAAATGTTAATTATTCAACAGCACCATATCCAACAAATAGTCCATCAATGGGAATGCCAATGCCTATGGGAAGAAGTTCACCATATTCATATTCGAATATACATCAAGGAATAGAACGAGAAAATCAAGGAGAAATTTCACAAGATATTTATCATGAATCACTTAAAACAGCTGTTTTAGAAAGAATTCGAAATCGATTTAATGAATTAAATAATATTGAAAAAGCAGAAATTGAATCTTTAAAAAAAACTGAACAATATTTAAATGAGGGAGAAAAAAAACTTGAATTATTAATTAATCAAATTCAACAGAAACAAATTCAAACTAAAGTTTAAATTATTATTTCTTGTTTTTAGTTTATTGATCGAACTTTTTTATTTAGAATTATATAACTAATTTACAAAATAAAATAAATCAAATATCAGAAAAGCCTTTATTAAAAAAAGATAATTTAATCGAAGATAATCCTATCATTTTTCCAGCACCTATTTATAAACAGTTTAGTTTTTGTCTTTTTTCTTTTTCATTATTTCGTTTTTTTTTGTTTCTCAAAGACTTTTTCAAGCTTTTGCTGAAGAACATGCTATTCAAGATTTATTATATTATCTTGCTGATGGACTTCGAAAAAGATCTATTTCTTTGGAAAACTATTTAAAAGTTTGTATCTTTTTTTTCTTGTTTTGTTTTTGATTAATTTTTTTGTTTTTTCGATTTTAGCATGTTAGAGAACTTTCACGAAAACAATTTATTTTAAGAGCTACTATGATCAAATGTCGACAAGTTGCTGGACTACCTACTAAATAATAATAACAGTTTTATTTATAAAGAAAAAAAAAGGTAAAATTGGAGGCTCCGGGTATCGATCCCGGTACCTCTCGCATGCAAAGCGAGCGCTCTACCGTGTGAGCTAAGCCCCCTTGACATAATCCTTCACCTTGATTTGTTCATTTATTTCATTTAACATTTAATGTAAACAATTGAAATAAACATAATATTCAAGCTATTTTTATTTAAACATATATGCTTTATCTTAACGTTTCATCACATGCAGGGATGCCACCCCGTTAAGCCAGAAAAGCGGAAAGCACAGTGAGAAAAAGCGGAAACAAAAAGTCAAAAAACGGAAAAATTGCGGAAAGCTGTTTTCTGTGGGATTTTCACATTCCTGTAGGTTTCAATAACTTTTTGCTTCTCTCCATGATTCTTTGTTATTCGCAAAGCTCCAAAGCACAATAAATGACACATAAAAAAGATGAATATTTTATTAAGCACATCATTTTTTCAATGTAGTTATATTGACTGTTTCAATGGATTTCGGTTTGAAACTATTTTTGAGACAGTAGATGTGTATACAAAATTCGTGTGACATTGAAGTATTTCAACGACTCTATATATTTGCAGTGAGTGAATCGATTGATATTCTATTGAGAAAATGATTGAATATATGTATCGTTTCCGAAAAAACACTTTCGGTCATAGCGTTGTTTTCCAGAATAGAACACAGAATGAATCATATAGACAACAATAGACTGCTAGCAACAGCTAACAAGAGACCTGCATCGGAGTCAGTTTCGGAATCAACTAAATTTCTAGACAATAACTAATTTTTAACATCAGAATTTTTGTGCGCTTTAAATTTTATTCTTTGATGGGTATTCTACAAGCTGATGTACTTTGAAGGCTCAATCAGCGATATATCGAGGTCTACGGACACGAAGAGAAAATTGGAGTCAAAAAAAATCGAAGTCGAAATTGATTCCGGCTTCCTTTACGTGTTCGCAGGTCCCGATGTGACGTTGATTGAGCCTTCAATCTGCATCAGTCTGTAGACAACTTATTAGAGAACAAAATCTACAAAGTACGAAAATTCTCATTTTATAAAAGGATTATGGGCAAGAAATTTAGTTCACTTCGATACGACTCTGACGTTGATTCTGATGCAAATCTCTACAGCTAACATAATCTATATCGTAATGTTGGATTTTATTTTCTCAAATTTTTCAATAAAAAATAAGCTAAAGTTTTTTATATGCAAAAGCGGAAAATTGCGGAACAGCGAAAAAAACAAAGCGGAAGAGGTGGCAACCCTGGATTACACATACAGACGGAATCGAGGCCACTTGCCCGCAGAACATATGCTCGCCGGACA